CCCAAAAAAAAAAAAAAAAAAAAAAAAAAAAAGACCTGCATCCTGAAAACCCCGTTAGTCCCAGGCAAACTGGGAATGGTTGGTAACCCTAGCTAAGAAGGCAACCACCAAAATGTTTAATGAAACAATCCAGAGATATTGATACATTTATTTTCTTTGAATTTCTTTTTTCTAGGCTTCCATGCAGGACACCAACCTTCTTTTATGACTTCGCCCCAACTCAATGATTGATTGCTTCCTCAAATCACATTTTTTCTGACTTCCCCACCACAAGAACTATAAGCTTCATAGGAACAGACATCTGTCTATCATTTCATCAATTTATCCCCAACACAGCCAGGCACAGGGGCTCACACCTCTAATCCCAGCACTGTGGGAGGCTGAGGTGGGCGGATCACAAGGTCAGGAGATTGAGAACATCCTGGCTAACGCTGTGAAACCCCATCTCTACTAAAAATACAAAAAATTAGCTGGGTGTGGTGGCCGGCGCCTGTAGGCCCAGTTACTTGGGAGCCTGAGGCAGGAGAATGGCATGAACCTGGGAGGTGGAGCTTGCAGTGAGCCGAGATCGCACCACTGCACTCCAGCCTGGGTGACAGAGCAAGACTCATCTCAAAAAAAAAAAAAAAAAAAAAAAAAAAAAGGAATCCCCAACACTCAGAACAGTATCTAGCAAATGCTACACAGGTACTCAATATAATTGTTGAATGAATAAATGTACCCTTGATTTCTTACAGTTTCTTATAGTATAGTGGAGGTGAGGCTCCAACTTTTAAGCAAGAATTTACTAAACACTTGCAAGATAAATACTGCATGTGCCATGAAATTAGACACTTTGACTTAAAAGATATAATATAGCTCACTTACCTTCAACCAGAGGCCCACAACAGGAAGGCTTTCTTAGTTTATGTGTGATCGGCCTCCAGGTGGCAAAGCCATCTTTAACCTCTACCACATAAGTGATTTTGTGGCAGTGAAATCCTTTTTTCAAATTCTAGCTATATTTGGTTCTCCCCTACGTATTGTGAGGAAAGAGTTAACACAGCAAGTCTGGTGGCTCCCTCCTATGTCTTCAAGGGAACCATGAGTGACCCTTGACTAACTCCTGGGAATGTGGCCCTCAGAAGGTTCTTTATGTTAGTGACTGATGATTTTGTTATATTCACCTGGAGCAATGGACCATGCTGAACTGGTTTGTCAGGTTGCTGTGCACAAACACCAAGGTTAATCATGTGCACATGGTTTCATTGTTGGGGTCCTGATTTTGCGTGGCCAAGGATGGTTGCACAGCTGGATATTCCTATGTTAACTAGCACCCCACCCTCTTACCCTTCCAAAAGCCATGGATCCCTGAGCCATTTGGGCTTACCTGAGCAGAGAAAATCCACACATGTCCTCATAGTTCACTGCTAGAAAAAGAGCACACCTGTGTGATCTTGGACAAGAAAAGTATTAAAGCCTGTATTAAAGCTAGACTCCACTGTTTCATATATTTTTCCTGTTACTCTGTATCCTTTCCTGTAATAAATCTTAGCAGTGAGTATATTACCTGCTACCTCGTGGGAGTCCTTGTGAATCAGAAAATGAAATGTGCGGTCTCTGTTTTTTCTCTACACCATGTTTAGAAATCTCAGTGCCTCTTGGCTTCTCCAAAAAGAATCTATTTTCAGTAAAAGCTCCAAGCATTATTGTGCAAGTTTTACTAAATAATACTGGGGATCAGGAGGATTAGATAGTGAAGGAGGGTTTTACATTGTACACCTTACTGCATGCAGCTTTATAAAATCCCATTTGACAGATCTTCCAAGTCCCTCTCATGGTGTTGTGAATTAGAGATTGTCTCTGTCTGCCCTTCCTCCCACACCATCTATGGCCTGTCCCCTCTTCTCCTGGGTAGTTCAACTCTGCCTTCAAATCTGCCTGTTCTTCTCAGAAAAACAAAAGCTTTGAAGTTATCAGAACTTACCTTCCTTAGATGAGAGTTTACTGGCCATACATTTTTGCTTCCATTCTGCTCTTGAAGACCTCACTTCTACTCCAACCCTTCCTAAATGACTTTTCTAAGTATTGTTTCTAGCAACTTACAGTACTTTTTCTAAAAGGAGCTCTGGTAAATAAATTCAACTTTTTCATCAGATTACCTTAAAATATCTGCAGTAGATCCTAATCTATAAAGTAGGTGAAGACAGAGCTCTTCTTGTTGAGCTCAACCTTGTTGAAACAGGGTTATGAGTGAAATCTAGAGACTGAGAACTCAGCCTCCCAACTGCTTTTCACCTGCTTCATCCCTCCATTTACCCATAATGGTCCATGAAGTGCTGCCTTAACCTGGGCCTCTATGGCATGTGATTTGAAAAACATGGCTCTAAATTATTTCAAGAGAACAAAACCTCATGATGATAAGATTCCTAGCCTGACGTTTAGCTTCTGAGTCCCCATTTTCTGAGAACAGCCTCTTTCTCTCCTTATTGACAGGACGGTGGCCTTAGCCTCCCTATACAACACAA